GATATTGTTAAGTTTATAAAGTTGTTCAACATCTTTTAGCAATTGTTGTAGATCATCTTTGTTTTCACAGTGCTATATAGTATTGTCCATATATGCTAATGGTGGGATAGTAGTTTGTGTAGGATGTAGATTTTGAATTTGTTCAACTAGAGATATTGTTTTAATTTTAAGGAATGAGTTTTGATATTTGGTATTGATATATATAAGAATAAGATCATAATAGATTTTCCAAAGCAGTGGTAAATACGTCTCTCCTTGTTCAATGCCAGAATGAAGTGTGATTGGGTCTGTTAAACTATATGCTGTTATTACTCTTGCTTTTCAGTTATGATATAAGTTTGTAATAAAGTTTATATACTACTGAGGCAGGGTACGTCACTTTATAGATAGATTAGTATAACTACTATTAGAGAATGTAAATTTCTTAGTATAGTTTAATCTGCAAATAAAAAGTGACAAAACTACCGAATTATAAAAAAAAAAAAAATTTAAAATAATTTATAAAATTTTTTTATATATAAAATTTAAAAAAAAGCTGGCCGGCCAGGTCAGTTTAAACAGCTCTATGTTATAAAAACCAAAATTTTTTTTTGTATAGCCTTTTATATATTGACAAAATTTTATATAGTAAATAATTTTAAATATAATTAATATTATTGCTTTGTCATATAATTTATCACTTGGATGTATAATTTTTTGAGTTTTAAAATTTTCACTAAAAAATGATTTAATTCATTTTAGGATTCAAAAATGATCTAGTTCAACCTGGAATTAATCGAATTCATGAAATGAGCCAGAACATACATATATATATGTACATACACATATATATATATACTGTATATTGCATATTATATTTTTTTATATTAGGACTTTTTTAAGGACCTACAGACTTAGGTCCTAAAATCAGAACCTGGTTTTTAAACATCGGGTCCAAAGACCAGGTCCTAAAGTCCCAAACCTAAAGACTTTGCCAACCCTAACATCCAGTGTTGTCACTCGGACAACTCGAACAGCACTCGGACAACTCAAACAGCACTCGGACAACTCAAACAGCACTCGAACAAAGTTTGTCAAAGTTTGACACTGAATAACTTTGAATAATATATTGTGACCCACCTTCAGTTATTAATTAAAGTTGTTCAGAATTATTTTTTGCATATATGTATGCATTTTTAGAGTGGATTTATAAGTCTGATAAAGTCGGGCAGTCCGCCGGATACTCCAAAAGGCTCGGACATCAAAAATGTACAACACTGCCTACACCCATTTAGTACGTTTTTGATACAAAATAAAAATAAAAATTAATTACTAAGGGGAAAATCGTAAATAGTGATCTTAACCGATAGTGAAAAAAAAAAAATGCTGATAAATGAATTGATAAACTTTTGTAATTTATTAATTTCGATTCAGTAACTTACTGACTCGGTCACCATGTAGAATTTATGAAAGCAGATGTAAAATCGTCCAATCGACTAAGCGGCTAAGTCGATAAATTTATCGGTTTAGTCATAGTCAATATGTGAAATTTAATGTTCTCAATGTTCCCAGAAAACCTAGAAATTTTAGGTTTATATTTATTGTGAGAACCGAGAACAAAATTAGATTTGAATTTCATATATTAGTCATGATCGAAAAGTAATGATCGACCAGGGTCATTAAACATAAAAAGTTAAAAAGTTTAACGTTAAAGCTAAAGTGTGTAGGTTAAATTATCATACTATATATTACGTATAAGAATTTGCGTAGTTTGTAACACTAACCATAAAATCCAAGATCATCAAGAATTTATCGACGTCTAAACCTGTTGTAAAGCATCACGATTATTAGGAGACGCTGTTAAGAACGATGCAGACCGATGCAAAGCAAGATCCTGCACCTCAAGACTTACCAACAACCGCTTTTTTGGAAAAAGTCTTGACAGAAATTGAATCAAACAGTCCTTTAAATCTTGTTCCTGTAACCGACGCCTTTCGACAAGTTTTCGTGACACGCGTTTCGTTTATAGAAAGTAGATGTATGAGAACTTGGTTATTTTCACGACTTGTAGAGCTGGGTGTATCCCCATTTTATCTCTTTATTATTCTTATTATAATTTCGACTTTAACGGTTAGGCACATGTACAAAAATTCGGTCTTTCTCTTTTGTAATTTAGTTGGTGTGGTTTATCCTTCTTATCGTTCAATTAAAGCCATTCATCAACAACCTTCCAATGAAAAGGAATTAATTGAAGAACAAAAACAGTGGTTAACTTATTGGACTGTTTATGGTTGGCTTCAAATAGCTGATTTTTGGTCATCTCGACTTCTTAGCTTGTTACCAGGTTATAATTTTTTCAAACTAATATTTCTATACTGGGCTCAAAATGATCAATCAAGAGGTGCTACTTTACTTTTTGAACACGTTTTGCGACCATTGTTACGTAAACCACAATCTAAATTAAATACGACTGCTCAAAAGCAGCAGACAACAAAATGGAAACAGAGTGATCAACAACGATTTGTCAAGATGGATGATAATTCTTCAGGTCCTTCGGATATTGTTTATAGAAATGACCTTTCACCTGAAGAAATTTGGAGACGCAATCCAAGAGAGCGTGAAAGCGAGGTTCAACCGTATCGTCTAAATCATGCTACTTGATTAATCCTTACATAAATTTTATTATCACATTTTTTTACATTCACACGTTAACGATGAAATTCGTGTTGGGTGTCTGTAAATAGTATATAATCTGTTAGATAACCTGTGTAAATTTTGTTGACATTCTTTTTTCAAGAAATTAGTAGAATTAGTAGAATTAGTCTTAGCACTGTAATTTAGTTCTGATGTAATTATTAATATATACTTTCAATGTCATCGAAATTTTTCACTTGAAGCAACCAATTAATTTATAAATTATATTATTTTAGATACATTCAATAATAAGTACAAGATTATGACCCATTATATTAAAAGATAAAATAAAATGGCCTTATTTTCGAAACTGTTCCAAATTAATTTTACGCCTTTTCCAGCTAAGATTTATAGGTTGATCAAAAGTGGTTTCTTGTTGTTTGGTTGTCTTATATAATCTGTGTTTAAGTTGCGATTCATAACGGCAAGAGGAATGTGTTGTTTTTGCAAACTCATCTAAATATATAATGGGAATCATGGAAGGTCTTATATGTTCAACGGCACAAAATAAAAAGTTGTTTTAGAAAAATAGTTTATTTATAAAATGATCAATAGGAATAATCTGCATTATATAAGAGATAAAGAATTACCTGCCATGTGCGCACTGAAATGGAAAATCGCAGAATGCGAGTTCTGAGATTAACTCTTGACATTGATTCAGTGTCAGTTTGTCATTAAATCTGATTGCACCTTCAATTAATATAATTATTAGGGTCTGCCTGTAAATTGGTTATTTGATGCACTTTAAATAAATACCTCGACAAGCCTTCGAATTCAATATATCAATTATTCCTCTTGGACATTGTCTTATCATTGTCTTCCAATCATTTTGATTGCCTACATTATTAATGCCAACTCCTCCAGTGTCTTCCAACCAATACAAATGTTGACGTAAAAGTTCTTGCGTTACTCGTGAATCAAATATACAACGGTCAGCAATCATTTTAGGAAGATGGGTAACATAAATAGGAATATGGTCATTATCAGTTGACGATGTGATAAAGTGTGGAGACACCAACGGTGTTGTGAATGAAAGTGATGCATTATTCTGTTTTGTATCTATATTATCTCTAAAAAAAATTCCCCAACTATTAAAATTAGCTTCGAATCTTTTCAAAACTTGAACCTCTCGTTCCATTAAAATTATTTTATTGGGAGGATTTATTTGAATTGTTTCGACAAGGGAATTTATTGGATGAATTTCGTTGTCATTCTCATTTTGCATTCGTTCCTTGTTCTTGAAATCACAAAACTCTTTCATTAGCATTTCAACACGTACACGCTCGTCTGCTGCATGTTGATCGACCAAAACTAAGATCCGTTGTTGCGTGCAGTTTTTAATATCCGACTCAATCACTCGTGAATATGGTAGTTTGCAAGCGATAAACTTATCATCAACTTGACCAATGACTTGAGCCTGAGCGAAATCTTTCTTATTGAAACGATGCTCAACAAAACTTGATTGTGCAAAATCATTACAAGGAAAAAAGCTGCTCTTTACAGATGATTGTTTATTGCATGTTGATATGTGTTTTAACAAAGGAATTGGTGCTTCATAACTTTGAAACACAGGATTATCCCATTTCTATTTGAATGTACCAAATTCCTTTAGTGAGGATTTCTTATAAACACTCTTAAGAATTTCTAATAATACCTCTAATGCATTTTCTGCCCATGGTGTCGCGTGTAATTCACCGATGATGTTTTTATAGTTCGATGTACGTAATCGGCTTCGATCTATTCTTGCTTTCGTATGATTTTCTGACGTAGATTGTGCCTGCCCAGGCATATTTATATATCTACAATAATGCACTTATGTAAATGCTGACTTTTTATAAAAAAAAAATGAATTTTCAAATGATAAGATAATGTTACTCACGAATTTCCAGTGCGCGTGTCTATATAAAATGCCTGTTTGGTACGAGGCTCTGTCCATTTTGTATATTCATTTCCTTTTATTTTCACGGTCTTTTTTGAAGTAACTAAAATATTTTCAGATTCTTCCATGTTTTTAGGTATCAATGGACCAGCTTTTAGTTCCTCATCTCTAAAAACATATTGTTTCTTTCCTCCACTTTTTATATGTGCTATGTCCTCAAATGACAATGGGAAATTGAGCCCGGGTCTAATTCTTGACTTTTTACTATCATTTGTTGAAACGGCAAGATTTTTCGCGTTTGATATCACCATATCTTGCGTTAAAAACCCATGACATAATAAAAATTGTGTCACAAGACCGGATAAAAGATCTAGGATTTTTGGCCAGTTC